GATACGCTATGCCTATATTTTGCCGAAGCATTTCATTCAAATTGATTTTTTTTTCATTTTGCATCATACAGCCAGTTATCATAACGCCCGTCTGTACTGTCATGCACAAGTTATAACAGTTTTATTCTACCTCCCCAATATCCTCCTGTCATTTCATGCTATCAACATCACATATACACGATTTCAACATATATCATTTTATATAAAGAAAGAAATGAAATTCCATTCGTATCAAATATTTTTTCTTCGGGAATTGATATTTCAAATTGTTACGCCTCCGCCTGGCGTTTGGTAGAATACAGAAAAGGTGGTGATTATACGAGAAAGTTTGAAACAAGAGGAGGTGTGTTAATCTGTTAAACTGATTGCATTCAGCAGAGTTGGATTGATCTACGTAGAACGAAATGGAATAAAACCTTAGATTCATTAAAATATATCTTATTATTATTATTGTAGTGCTCTTAATATTTATCTAGGACTTCAACACATTGGGTTATCAATATCTTATCAATAATTAGAAATAATCATTATTATACAGGGTGATATTCTGGCGCCTGTTCTGTCTCAACATGATTGCGACGTCTTCCAAGAATTGATGATAATGTGTTAGGTGTGACAAGACATTGACCGCTGTTGGTTGTAGGCCAAAACAAACGAATTTTAACATTTTATTTTTCTGAAAATGCCGATAAAGGAATTTAAATGCACTTCTCTTGGTGGTTTGGTTCCTCATCTACGGATCAGAGTACAAGATCCTTCTATACAAATGTAGAATTTTAAAGGTTTTTCATAAATATCTAAGATGTACGTAGTATTGCTTGGAAGGTGAACTGCTAACGGTTCAGACACTGTGCGTTTTTCTTTTTTGTTTCCTATGCCAAAACGAAACGCCAAATAGCCTATAATCCACATATTTTCATGATTTAGCCACGTACTCAATTAATCACGTTATCACGTCCAAGTCATAACATTGTTAAACTAGCGCCAATAACTGCAGTGGAGAATGTAGGTCAATTGCCTGTACATGGCATCATTGATTTTTCTGGAGTGGAACAATTTAGGGGGGAGTCCGACGAGAAAGAGAAGTATCAATTCAACAGCAAATATATAAATATAGCGTGGAGTTACTATCATCAGAGTCTATAACAAACTTTTAGAAAAGTGTGAAAATAGCCCATGTTTCCAATTTCACTGTGTAAATTTTTGCAGAAAACATGATACATTTCTATGTCGTTTTTCTCTCCCTAAAAATTTGTTGACCACTTTAACTGTTCAACTCCCG